ACCATGTTTCTTTAACAATAAATGAAGAAAAAGAAGAAATAGTTGATTTACATTGTGATGACTGTGCAGCATCTTTAGGTTGGTGACTGCATAATAATATATATATATATTTATATAGAACCCATATCTTTATGAGAATTTTAATATGTTACATTATATAAATCTTTTGTGATATTAAGTGTACCTATAGAAAATAATTTATAATTATTGATAAGGTAGGTATTTATATTTAATTATAACTAGTCCTTAAATGTTGTAAACAAAGATTTTATTATTATTTACAGGTGGATGTAAACACAGTTTAGCTTTTCTCATGTATGTTCATAGAAAATCTGAAGAAAAGTCTCCCACAGAAGTTGAGTGCTATTGGAAAAGACCCAAACTTTCTGGGGTTGGCACAACATTAAAATATATAACAGCTAAATCTATGTCCAAAAAATCCATAGTAAATATTCAAAGTGAAATATCTAACAAGAATTTTTTTAATGAAGCTATGAAATTAGGAGAAACCCACCAAATAAATTGCCAAGTTGGTGCTCATAATTATAAATTAGAGGAATCTTTTTTCAAAATGTTGTCAATCCATACAGCTATATTAGAATTCTCCAAACAATATAATAGTAGTAAGTTAATAATACAAAAATACCACAATATAAATATAGCCTATAGGTATGAAAGTTTTAATTATTTTAAGTATTACGGAAGGCCAAGTTATTTTGTATAAGAAAAAAAGTTTTTTTTTTGTATTTAATGTTTTTTACACACATTATTTTATAATACAGATGGTACAGCGGATGACTTTTTACATTTCTTAAAAGAAAGAACACCCATATCAGTATTCAGTGGTGTAGAGGAAAAAACTACTAACCAATCTAATAATGTTTTGTGGTTCGAACTTAGATATGGAAGAATAACTGCATCTAAAATATATGAGTTATCTAGGTGTAAAAAAGGTGATGGGGTTCTGGTCAAACAAATACTTGGATGTAGAAAAATTAAATTGACATCAGCTATGGAACGTGGTAAACTATTGGAAAAAGATGTAAGTAGGACAAAAAATACACCACAAAACTATTTTAATATTTATTTTTTTACTATTTTATTAATTGTCTATGTATATTTATTTATTAAGTTGATTTAATGTAAACAGATGATCCTAACATATGTTTTTTATAAATAACTTAATAGGTACTTCAAGAAGTGAGAAAAATAGTAAAAAGAACCATCCGTGAGACTGGTTTGGCCATTTCTTTTGATTTTCCTATTATAGGAGCATCAGCAGATGGACTTGCTTCAGACTTTGTTTTGGAAATCAAGTGTCCACAGAAGCATACTGCTATGAATAATTATATAAAAAATGGTATCGTACAGTCAAAAGTTCTGGCTCAGCTTCAACTGCAAATGCATGTACTAAAGAAACCAAGAGGGCTTCTGGCAATAGCTGATCCTGACTTTACACAAAACAAGAAAGTACACATTACATGGATTGATTATAATAAAAATATGTGTGATGACTTAATTAAAAAAAGTTGGACATTTTGGAAAACTTTTATATTTCCAATTTTAATAAATACATAAACATTAATGTTAATATTATCTATATATATTAGGTACTTACAATATATGACTATATTGACATTTTATACTATAATAATACATAATAAATTGAATTTTAAAGTTGTTGATTTTGTTAAGTCCTTTACAGTATATTAAAATTAACAGTTGGTTTATTCATTATTGAGTAATAATAGGTTTTTGTAAATTAATTAAAGCACATGCAATAGTTATAATATCATCTGCATTTGAAACTAAACTTAAATGCATCAAGGCATGTGGTTTTAAGGTTTTAAACTCTCTTAATCTGCCTATTACTCGTTCAATGTGTATTCTCAAACTAGCTATACGTTTAGTTTCAAGCACTTCTTCTTTAGTAGACTTTTTATTTGAAAAAACACTTGGTGGTCTAACTAGTTTACACACTCGTTTTTCCAACATAAAGTCTATACTTTTGAACCCTCTATCAGCCATGACTGTACAGTTCTCAGGAAGACATTCTAAATAACCAGATTTTTCAACTAATAGAACATCACTAGATCTACCACCATAGCCCTCAGAAATAAAATTAATAAACCCATCTGGGGTAGATGATATTAAATATTTAAGTGTGTTGCATTTTTTATAATCAGACCATGTCAATGATTGTTCTATAGGATTGGATGGCTTAGGAATTTCTATTTCTAAGCAATCAATAATTGATTGCACATCTGAATACCTATAACGAAAAGGAATCGGTAATAGATTCTGAATACTATTTTTATTTGGCCAATATATAAATTCTTTAAAATATCCACTGATTAATTTAATAGTTTTATTAAAAATTCTACAACAAAAACTTTCAGACATACCAAAAAAATCACTTAATCTAGAAAATGAATCATTTAAACGAATTTTCATTAGTGTTAATAATATATCTCTCTCTGAAACTTTACTCTTTATACTTAACAATTCTATAAATCCTCGATTATACCAATCAGGATTTAAACCTATATAAGCTTTGGGCTTATTTTTTATATAGAAACAAGTCATTTCATAGCTCATATCTTTGAATTTTTTTTGTTCGTTATTTGTATGTGAAATACTAGAAAAAGAATTAATAGAAATATCCATAGAAGTATCTAGCTCACTCTCAGAATTTGAACTACTAGTTGAACCATACATTGAGGTACATTCATGTGTTTTACTATTAGATTTATTTACATTTAAAGGCAACTTATCAATTATAGTATCTTCAGTTTGAAACTCCACACTGATATCACACTGTGTTCCCTTGCTTCTAGTTGATTTAGGAACCGTTTTACTGTTTAAATTTACTTGTACACCAATTTCTTTTGTTTGTTTATCAGACTGTTGGAAATCTTCAATTATTATTTCAGCATCAGGTATAACTGTATCAATATGTTCTAAACATTTTAATTATGTATCATTAAAAATAAAAAAATACATAACATATTATTAACTTGAAAAATGTATAGGTACCTTCTGTCATACAAGATTGATTTTGTATAGCGGTATCAATGATATTTTTTCGGATTCTTTTACTATGCAATGGTCGAGGGTTTGATGTTGATGCTTGCTTACGATCAACCTGACAATCAAAAATATGTGGTACAATATTTTTCTTCAGTTTAAGTCTTGATGCTCCCATAAGCTTAAATTGAATATAATTATCTAAATCATCTTCTAACTGAAAAAAAATTATTCTATTTAAGATTCTGGTTTTAAAAGACAAATATTTTAATTCTAATTAATTCTCTCTATAAAAATTACTTACAACAAAATGATCTTCACAACAATCATGATGTGTTTTAGATTTTGCGGTATCATTACGTCTTGCTGCTTTAAACCACAATAATCTCCGTTTAGCATCATAAGGAACGCTCAAAAATCGTTTATTAGGGCATTTTGTCGAAGTGTTTGTACACTTCGGTACAAAACAATATTTGTATTTTGAGTCCCTTGGCATATTTATTAATTAAAATGTGCGAAATAATATGTTGATCAAAGATACGAACGCGAAGTTCAAATAATGAAAACTTAAAAATAAAGTGATAATTCGATAATATTGTATTATTATTATTGGTAATACTAATAAATATGTACCTACCTAATAATATTATAAACATTTATACTACTCGTGTATTAATACCCATGTAGTAATACAAATTATAATATTAATAAATTATAATGTCGTACATACGCATGTAACATAGCGAGGTAACTAAGTAAGAAGTGGCGATAACGCTATAAAAATAGTAATATTTTAGTATGCCGACGCGTGACGGCCAGAACGGGAGTACGGCATTATGACGTCATGCTTAAAGCGCGGGAAAATATGAATATTTGAAAATCTAAACCACGCCCACTTACAAAGTACTTAAAAACTCGTGTTGTGTTGGAGAAAAAAAATTTGTTTTTTCATTTACATTAATAGTATACTATAGTAACCACAGTGTATACATTTTTATCCAATATTTTCATATTGGTTCAGGTCCTAATTGTTATTCAACATTTATATCGAAATTCGGACAGTGAATTCTCATTAACATTAAATGAAGTGTCGTGGTATGGTTAGTATAAAATATAAATAATAGATATACAGTTTAGGGTAAGTATAACATTTGTAAGTAATGGGAATACTCTAGACGTTGAAAAAAACGAATATTAGACTAACCTAACTCAAAATAATTGATTTATTCTATAATATTCTCTATCGAATCTTACCTGTTTTCTAATAACTCACATCACATCACAATATGTGTTATCAATAATAGTTGTTGTGGGTACTAACCGAGCGACTAGACTCGCTAAAAACAAGTACAGCCACATTGTGGATTCGATTTTATTTTTATCATTGTTCTTGTAACATTAAACAATTATGGATAAGAAAAATAATATTATGATGGATTTTACATAAAGTAGGTAGGTACAATTTATTATTATTTACAATGATGAAAATATGTGAACAACTAACATGTATTTGATTCTAATTGATGTAGTTATAAGTCCGTTGAGATTTCAGAACATGAACTATCTTAGGTAACCAAAAAAAAAGTTAAGATTATTAAAAAACTAGAGGTTCGCTATTTAGTGAGTTCATCAAATTGAAAATCAGAACGCTGCGCTACAATACGTTTCACGAAATTGTACTCGACTTATATGCGTCGTTTTTGTGGTAAATTGTGAGGTATAATAATATTATAGTAGGTACCTATATATCAATATAATATTATACAAACTGCTGTTCGCGCACCAGTTCAAATCACCCATATACTCTGCCGCATCAAATAGGTACGCTCAATTATACATTTATATTTTTACTATTATGCAGGGAGTATATTGTTTATATTTCATCCGACCGGAAGTTTTCTATCGGGATTCCTGCAAGAGAGATATGGAAGGAAACGGTGCATGATTCTCGCCAACGTCCCCAGTATTTTCGGATGGATATTGCTGTACTAGTGTACTACACACACTCCACAGGTTCACTTTACACGTCCACCGTGCTGATGGGCTTTGGGCATAGGATTCAGCGAAGCCCCGATATTGTCGTACGTCGGCGAAATAACCGAACCGAGACTCAGGGGATCGATGGCTTCGTTGGCGTGTACATCGTCTATGCTTGGAGTGTTGTTGACTTACATTTTGGGATATTTATTCGAATGGAGAACCTTCGCATTGCTGAGTACACTTTGTCCGATCACGTGCATATGCCTTGTGATTTTCGTACCTACATGTTATATGTTTGTTATACGTATAAGTTAATTTTAATGGTACACATGCGCCTGTATTGCTTGTAGATTCCAGAGTCTCCAGTGTGGCTGGTTTCCTAAGCGAAAAATGAAAAAGCCGAAAAGGCCTTGTGTTGGTTAAGAGGATGGGTAGAACCCGAAATTGTCAAAACCGAACTCCTTGAACTCATCCGATAAGTATCCGGAACTCATCGAAGAACGGCCGATGTTGATCGAACGAATTTATCATCAAAATTAGCCGAGTTTAAGGATCCGTCGGTGTACAGACCTTTTATATTTATAATGTTTTATTTCCTGATTTCCGATATCGTTAGCAGTGTACCTTGGAGACCGTATACCAGTTAAATCATGACAGAAGTTGGTATATCGAATAACCAAAGTTTGCTCTTGGTAAATATAGGTACTACGGAAATACATACACTTTTATAGGTAAAATAATAAATATTTTTATTGAAATATTTCCAGGTGGTTTTTGCTGTACTACAAACTATTGGATCCTTGATAGTAGTATTGACCGTCCATTATCTGGGAAATGGTTTTTGACTAATTTGATATTTTTTATCAACACATTATTGATGTCTCTATTCGGCATCTACATTATAGCAATTAAGAATGGTTTTATCTACTCAGCTCCTTGGATTCCTATAACTATATTATGTGGCATTAACTTTTTTGGAGCTTCAGTCATTATTTTGCCATGGATGTTACTTAGTGAAGTTTTTCCAAACAAGTAAAGCTCATTAAAATTATACATTTTCTTACACAATAATTTACTATTCTTAGAAATATAACAATAAGTCAGTTGACGAATATGTTTAAATAAAGTCAACAAGTTATACTGGGAGTCGGTATCGTATTTATGGCGGGGAGCAGTGCCGTAAAAATCATAGGTGCAGGCGGTGCACAGCACTGGGGCCCGCAGGGTCAAAGGGCCCTTGGGGCCTTGGTCGGATGGGCATGGCCGGTTTCCGCCAAAAGTGTACCTTTCCCTTTTCCCCCAATTCTCTTTTCCGCCAAATCATAAATTGTTCGATTCCCTTTTCCGCCAAAACCGTACCTTTCTCTTTTCCCCCAATTCACTTTTCCGCCAAATCAAAAAAGTTAGTCTAGTATTTAGTTTAGTAACAATATACATGTCAGTCATATTATAATATATTATAAATTATAATTTTATTTTTATTTCACATACATGCGTCAGTCATATTATAATTTACATTAAAAATTAAAACTATTTTGTTTCTTATCACTATTAAAAAGTGTTATACCTAATATATTATGTATTTTATAAATCAAATTAAAATTATGTTTTTATTTATATTTTACATACATGCGTCAGTCATATATATAATCAGTGATAAATTTATCAGTAAGTTGAAATTACGGTATGTTATATATATTTCATTATAGTATAAACTTCTTAATAATAGTAAAAAAAAACTGTTATTATGAATCCTATATTAAAAAAAAAATTATAATATGACTGACATGTATATGAAATAAAAATAAAATTATAATATATTAAAATATGACTGACATGCATATTGTATATATAATATTTAAATACTAGACTAACTTTTTTGATTTGGCGGAAAAGTGAATTGGGGGAAAAAGGAAAGGTACACTTTTGGCGGAAAAGGGAATCGAACAATTTATGATTTGGCGGAAAAGTGAATTGGGGGAAAAGGGAAAGGTACACTTTTGGCGGAAACGGGTAACTCTAGATGTCATTTTTTTTTTTAAATTTAATTCATAATAATTGTATTATTATCTTGTATTTAATTTCATAAACGGCAATGTAAAAACTAATAGCATGGTCCGTTACTTGGAATTGTTAATCAAAATATTGGGAAATTTACTAAGCCAAGAGCACGGACTAAGACTTAGTCCGTGGCCAAGAGTAACATAAATAGATTTGTTGATTATTATACGTGATATCGCGATACCGCTACTAACACACACACTAACAAATTGTTTGTACTATCTTAAATCGTGCTGGAGACGCTACGCGGGGTCGGCTTGTTTACCATTCCCTATCATATACGTATCGGCTAAAAATGCGAGGGAAATTTTCTTAGAACAGTAAAACTATTTGCAGAATTTGACCCACTTTTAAGAACACTTCTTGATAAAAAAGATGGCCACATTAAATATCTAAGTCCAGCTATTCAAAATTACTTGAGAAATTCTACTTCCCAAGAAAGATTAAGATGTAATATATCAGTACTTATTAAGTATTGAAAGAGGTCGTACTGATGAAATTAATATCAAAAAGGTTATTGCTGATTTTGCAAATGCAAAAGCTCGGAAGAAAATGTTTTTTTAATAATTAAACATTATAAAATATGTAATAGGTATATTATTATAATATAATGATAGTTATAATTATTTTTATTTTTATTTCTAGTGTTATAATGAAAACTGTTGTCATGAAAACTAAAATTATTATTTTTTTTTGTAAATTATTTATTTTATCTACCTATGTAGTTTATTTTACAAGTTTTTTTTATGTATCTCTAGAAAGAGGGGCCCATGCATTTTGTTTGCACCTGGGCCTTTGACTCTCTAGTTACGGCACTGGCGGGGAGAATGTAGGGGATTTTTATTCCTCCACCAAATATAATTTATAATATTCTTATAATACCTTACCTATAGTGTATATAGTATTGAACTTTATAGGGAAAAAGTGTCTATATTAATACAATTTTTTTTTTTTTTAAGAATGTATAGTAGTTTCTAATGGTGTACATAAAAATATATGTTAGGACTTAAAATTGTGATATCCATCAAATAATTTTTGATTCAAGATGAAAATGTATTACTGTCCGTATGTTTGTACTTTTGTAGATTATAGACCCAAATACTACTCCACCGTTTTTGACAAATATTCGCTATATTTGTTGATAGTCACCATATAATGTACTTATAGGTAGTTAGAAGGAACAGAGTACTTGTACGAATATTTGATATTTGCTATTTGTTCTTCGCTACCTCCTAGTGGATTATAGGTGACACGAAACAACGATATACGTTATATGTTCGTAAAATAAACGAATATTGGGTATGGTCTACTTGACTGGTCAAGTAATTTGATGATTATTCGAGCATTAGAGAATTGAAAACCGATATAATATTATATATACATATTAGTATATTACATATATTATTATAATATTTTAACATAGCTGTGTTACCTACCCATTAATTTTAAATTATTATTATGTAATAGTGTAGTACTAACATTTACTAAAAGTAGATTACAACTTAGTACATTTTTGGGGATGATTATGATAATTAGAGATAGTAAGTACAATATTCTATACTCACCGAAATATAATATCTATGTAGGTACCTAATTTTAGGTAATATTGTTTATTTTATAATTGACATATAAATTACGAATCAGCTAGGTATATTCCATCCTTTTAATAATTTAATCTAATTGCAGTTGGTTGTTTTTTTTTTTTCAGAGCCCGAGGTATTGCGACTGGCTCATCTGCAGGATTGTCTTATTTATTAATATTCATATTAACAAAATCATACATAGAAATAGAGATTCTATTGACCTTGGAATACACTATGGTTCTCTTTGGTTGTTTGGGCATTTTTGGATCACTCTACTTATACTTTTATTTACCAGAAACGGAAAATAAAACACTATTAGAAATCGAAGAATTTTTTACATAAAATGTACAAATGAAAAGCTATTAATAAATATAATAATTTATAGCATTGATAAATGTACCTAGTTTTGTTTTTAGAATATCATGAAATGCATTTACTTGAAAATTCATAATTCCAATTTAAAGCTACATTGTGTCACATATCAGACATACCTACCTACTTGATTAAGTCAGTACTATTCTGTGATATGAAATATTTTTTTTAATTACTGTATACATTATTTCCTTTATTAAAGCAAATATTTTGACATATAGTCATAATATATTGTGCATTATCAACGTGTCGGTTAGGGACACATTAACGTAAATGTTCGGACGTAAAAACAATTTATAATAAAATGGGTAAGTGGATGTGGCTCTGCTGTACAGTAGGTTACAAGTGGGTCAATGTATAAAGAATTGTATTAAACTTGAATTCAATGATATAATTGTTTGTTTATTAATAAATTTTAAATATTATTGCTTCTAATATTTCCTTTTCTTTAATACCTAG